GTGACGATGGTACCCTACGATTGGATGCAGAGAAAATGGGGATTGCTCAATATCTACCGAGTCAGTTTGATCGCATGGTTCCCCTCCCTCATTTGCTTCCCCATCTTGAACTGGATGGCGAGGAGAGGAATGGAGGGGTCCGTCTCTTGGTACTCGATGTTGCTCGTACTCTGGATCATCTGGTCCGTTACGGGTTGGTCATGGCGTGAGTGTCCCTGTTCTTTTGCCGAGATGATATGTTGACCGTTCTTTTAGCCGCAAGCTTTGTCTTGTTGTCCAGCCTTTCGCCGAGTGCCAGTGCGGTAGCCACCGTGCAAGGTTTGCTATCCGTCTCTACAATCGCTCCACAAGCCCTTGCACCAGCATTGGCTACCTCTACATTTGCAATTTGCATCAGACATCCCGAGATTCTGTACGGGAACGTGTTCTGGGTGGCCATCATGATCTTTAGTGAGCCTCCCTCCTGCAAGATCAAAGTAACATACTAACTACTGAACAGGCTTGGTCGCATTCGCTCATTCGTTGACTTTACGAGAGTCGACATATGACTGGCGAGCCGAGATCGAAGAGGAGAACGATGGACATGCCACAGCATAGAGTTTTGGGACGACATATCTATATAGATTATTGGTACAGCGTCACTTGGACGCTTAGACTTTCTAGAGGACTCTTGCATTAGAATCATAAGGATCCATCGTAATATAATCTTGACCCACGAACCGAGAATCCCTGAGCTAAGAGACCCATCTACGTCCTTGAATCAGGATCCAGGTACATCTAGACCATCGAGTGTTTGATTTTGACTTGAGCGTCTGATGGAAGGAACCAGCTCTTTGAAACTCCGCTCGGGCGTAAATGCGAAAAGAGGGTAAATGGCAAAGATGCACTCGGTCAAGAGTACCATCATTGCGTTCGAGATTAGGAATGAAACGAGCGGCCAGGAAAGTACGGAACGAATGGAAGGACTGGTAGTCTGTTCTTGTTCTTGTTCTTGTTGTTTTTTCTTATCATTATCTTCAGGGATTTCAACTAGGGTGCTGGTGGAAGAGCTGGCGGTGGGGATATCTGCGAGGAGTGGTGTGGTCTCGCTGGGAGGTGTCGAGGGTGTCGAAAGGATCCTTGGTTCCTTTTCACGTCGGCGTCGGATTGCTGGGAGCGTCTCTCGGAGGACTAGAGCGCCGACAATGGCAAAGAAGGCGGCGTAGGCGGCTCCGACAAAGCAGGGGAGAGCATAGGGGTGCGCTCTCCAGAACGCTCCTCCAAAGAGCGAGGGGAATGCACGCTCGGGGTGCGCCAAAACCCCGCCTACAGGTTGACCCAGGATCTGGCCTGTTCGATAGGACATCATCATCCATGCGAAAATTTTGGCCTCAGACGCCTTGTCCACCATTTCAGAGGCCATGACCCGCATGGCTGCGTCGCTCCCTCCTACAACGCCGCCCACGATTCGAGAGGCGATCATCATCGCATAGCTTACACTCATACCGAATGCTGAAAGCGAAATGGCGATCCCAACTGCTCCTGCAATTACGACTGGTTTTCGGCCATAATAGTCCGACGCCCATGTCATCGGGAAAACTGAATAAAAAAACGGAAAAAAAAAACCATCAACAATTGTGGATAACGGAGCCTCAAAGGGATTCCTACCTGCCAACAAGGACGAGACAGCATAAATGCTTTCGACGATCCCGCTATAAAACCCAACGTCCGCCGGGTCCTTCACAACTCCGATTTCGAGTAAAAACTGGCGAAATACGTTAGAAAATTCTGCCGGGTATACGAATATGGAGGGTCCGAAATGCACATACCTGGTTAACAAAGGGAAAGATACATTCGAACGAGAAAGAAATAACAGCTACAAGGCCTAACAAGACAGAAATCTGGATCATAGAAAAACCCATTTTCGTTACACGACTCGAGGCGGGCGCGGTCCGCCGAAAAATTGCGCAAGTTTGGGAGAGAAAAAAAGGATGGTTGGGAGTGTTATTCTCATGCCCCGGTATGCAGGTTATATACTTTTGACGAAAAAAACTAATAAATTAGATATTACAAATAATAGAATAATTGAATAATAAGAAACTAAAACCATAAAAAAATATATTTAAGAAGGAGCTTATTAAGACTATTTGAAAGAAAGTTCAAGAAAAATTATAAAAGAACAAAAAATATTAAAGATTTACTTAGCTGAAGTATTAATAGATCATAAAAAAAAAACAATTAAAATAGATATAACATAAATTTAGACAAGTAATAAAAAATATGATAATGAATTCCAATTATGAATATCAGACTAATTATAATATACAAGAATAGAACTAATAACTATAGTTATAATTTTATTAATAATATTAATAGAAAATTTGATTAAAATTTATATAGGTAATCAAATATATATTTAAATAAAATAATTTAAAGAAAGATAATTTAAGAATGACTTATAGAAGATAGTTATAAAAAAAACTGATTTTTTAAATAAGAATATTAAGTATTGTTAAAGAAAAATATAAAATTAAAATTAATCAAAGTCAAGGTATATATTAAGATTACAAAAAATAATATGATAAATAAATTGATCAAAAAAATATTAAACCTCTTAGCAATTAAATAAAAAAATCTCAAGTTTGATAAAATTATTACAGAAGTTAAATAATAGAATATAAAGATAATTTATAAAAAAAGTAAATAATAAAATAGTAATATATTGTTAGTTACAATAAAGACAATTGGAATTTATAAATAATAAATTAATAAAATTATTTAAAGAACATTATATGAAAATATAAAAAAATATATATAAAACACTTTATTCAAACATACTTAATACAATTAAAGAAGCCTGATTAAGAGAAATAGAGATAGTATATCAAGAATTTTATAAAAAAAGATAGAAATAAAAAGATGAAACTTATGAAGATTATAGTAATACTTTGATAACTAATAGAGATAAAATAAGAATAATAAGAATAAGATAATAAAACTTATAAAAAAGGTATCTGAAAGAAATAAAAAATATAATCAATTTTTTTTATAGAATTGTTAAAAGTGATTCATTAATAAAAATAAAAAAACCAAAATATAAAAGAATAAATATTAAAATATAGTATAAAAATAGATATTTTATTATCAAATAAAAGTTCTTAATCATTTTAAAAAGAAGTATGGAACAAAAGATGTAAACAAATAATAAAATAAAAAAAAGCCCAAAAAATTTTTTAAAAGAATAAAATAAAGAGATCTATAAAATTTTATATAGTAAAAAAAATAATAATGGAAACTAACTATATACAGATAATGATGTTTATAGTAGAAGAATATTAATTCAAATAATAAACAGAGTAATAATCATTTTTAAAGTTGCACCTAGAGTGAGTAGTGACACTATAACTAGCATAACCTATATTGTTTTAATTAATAATTAAGAATTTAAAAATTTATAAGATCAAACTTTTGAAAGCAATTGTAATTCTTTTAACAATACACAAAGATCAGACGTAACCGGTCAATATAATATTAAAGATGGTTTGTTAATATCTCAATAAAGACATGCATAATGATATTAATCATAGTTTAAAAATAATAATAATAAATTATTTTTTATTATTTGAAAATTCATTTGTTTAATTTAATGAGTAATATGCCATTCGAAAGCTCTAATCGCAAGGAATCGAAGGGTGATAAAACAATTTAATTTCAATTACTGAATAGTGAATTATAAATATTTTTTTAAAAACTTTAAAAAAATACTTACACACACTAACCGGTGATTGAAGTTAAACGATTTTATCACCCTTCGATTCCTTGCGATTAGAGCTTTCGAATGATGCCCATTAAACTTGAATAAACGGTAAACTTTTTATGTCGTGTACATGCCGTCGATCATTCGCGGATCGTGAATATCGAACTTTTGCGATCACTATTTATTTGAAAAAGATTGTGAATAAAAAAGAAAAGATAGAAGTGATCTTTAAAGATTTTATAAATTAAGAAATTATAAACCTTCTTAACTAATATTAGAAATAAAATAATAATTATTATAATATATAAAAGCAAACACTGTTACATTAATTTGTTCCAGAATAAAAATCTTTTATTGTACAAAAAAAAAAAAAAACAAAAAAAAACAAAAAAAAAAGGAAAAGAACAAGGCAAAGTCCTTAATGATCAAATTGCACAGAAACCAGGTAAATTCGAAATTTTTAATGGTGATTCGACGATGAGACTTGATTCTTTTGAGTGCAAAATGCAATCACACGCTCATTTCCTCGTCATCGTCGTCAATGGCCCAGCGAGGTGGTGAGCCAGGTCTTGCGTTCGCTGAGCCTTGTATCTCTGGCGCAACATCAGACGGTTGCGTGTCAAGATTCACTAGATTAACCAAAGTTGAGGTTAAATAATGTAAATACACATTGACTTATACGTCTGACAACACTTACAATGCTTTTTTAATCCTTTTCCAAAGTTTCTTAGGACAAATATAGACCAGGTTAACGTTAGCTGCGAATCGAAAAAAACCTCTTAGCCTAGCCTCACAAAGTTTAAAAGGTACACGGAACAAACTTTATACAAATCTTTGTACTCACAACAGAAAATATGATACCAGAGATTACTATTAAAGGGGAGAGTGAAGGAAGGTGAGCGGTTAATGATTTTCAAGAGAGAATTCTAGCAGAAAGGATAAGAAAACTTACTGAAAATAATCAAGAAATACCAGCTATCCTGTGGAGAGGCTTGCGTTGACTCCACAAGTAGCATTAAGAAATCAGCGAATGTTAATATCCATAGACTTATAAATATATTCATGGCCGTGTGTGACTCACTATTTAACTTTAAATAGATGGAAAAGAGGACCATAAGAATCGAAAGAGAAATGTGGGTAAAGAGAGGAAGAAAGAAAGAACTACTTACGGAATAATAAGCAAGCACTTGAAAGAGAAATATTAGACCGGTTATTGTGGCATGAATGATATACAGTGAGGGACTGAGATATATCGGACCCGGTTCGTTCGGTTTAAATACGGTGCAAACTTCTATCGACATTACTATCATAAAGAAGAGATCCAATTTTAACAGCATGACAAAAATCAACATCGTTCGGTAAATCTCTAGAAAAAAGAATGAGGAGTATTATAAAATTACGTGTCAGTGTGAAATAAGAAACCATCGAACAAAGTTGTCAAAAGAGATTCACTTTGCATTTGAGGATCGGCGCCTATCTTTTTGTAAATATTCCAGCCAAAAGCCTTGACATAATGAAGAGAATTAGTCTGATATTCTAAAAGACCGACGACCGAAAGCCATTGAAAAGCTCTAATCACCTTATATAGTTTCCAGGTGACAAATACCATTAAGGTTCCGCAGAGCAATGATATAATTATCAATGGTGCCTCGTGGGTCATTATGAGCAGGTCGTAATCATCGAACACAGGAAGATTACAATTTTCTATTGCCACACGTTTCCACTTCAATATTTCTATAATTTGGATCTGAAATAAATTACCAATATATAACGCATATAAGGATATTTTCGCGAAGTAAACTACGAGATTAGTGGAATACATACACCACCAACTATTCCAATTAGATAATTTATCACCACAATTGTTATTATTTGAATTGTGTTCTGATTTTTGATCTGGAAAGACGGATATATATGCGTTAAAGAATTGACCGGGTATTAATAAAATTCTGGTTTCACAATCTCTCAAATCTCAATAAAATCTTACCGCATCGAAACAGAACCACACTTGGAAAATATTGAATAGTATAAAGATTACGTTTTCTCCATAGATATTTTTTATTCTGTCCACTGAATCCTTTGTGCAAGCACCGTAATTCGCTGTCGCTAGAAATGCCGCGGAAGCTTGTTCATTTCTTTCAAGGATAGTTGCTTCGAATGCGATCCCAATAATGGATTGAACAATTGAAGTAGAAATGAAAAGGAGTGTCCACCTTGATTCTGTCACCTTATCATACTAGGGCCCAAGAGGTAATTATTAATATTCCGGGTAAAGAACGAATCTATGAGCAAACCCTACAAAGAGGAATTACCCACCCAATTTAGAATCCATTCTTTTAGCTTGGATACATTAAAATTTTTTCTCATCGAAGATGTATTGTTATTAGGCAGACTCATGATGAAGTGATTTTCTCATTTGAAAGAAACAAGCACGAGAAAAAAATTTTTTCCTTAATAAAATATCGCGAGAACGTTATGAATTAATTCCTTTAGACGATGCCTCACTCCAGCATGAGCGGGATTGCAATTTTGATAAAAAGAATAAACGATCAAGCAAAGTCTCAGTTAAGTTCGTAATTCTTTAAGGAGAAGAGGAAGTATCGGATGTTCCATTGTCAATCCATGAATCTTCAAAATATACAAGTTGCCGACGTTCCGATGTCATTTACCTTTTTGGTAGTAGAATGTTTAATGTTTATCCCATCATCAGCCTCGGTGTTATGAAATATGGATTTTTTTTTAGTATGCATAACGTTATATGGTGGCAATATTATCTGTCTCGCCTTCCGTGACTTGCGTAATTAAATATGATCATCATCATTAAGTATGTATATCGTACTGTGCAGTACGTACATATACTGTGTCTTGTCGTGTTTTAAATAAGGTGAAGCATTTTCGTTAATTGACATAGTTCATCCTTGCCTCAATCAGTAATAAGAATATATATGTAGTAACTTTATCAAGTTTATATCTGTGTTCTTTTTAAGACCGCTCATCACGAAAAAGGATTACGTAAGAGGTACGTAGCGTCCTCGAATGGTGCCATTCATTTATTGCAGTCAGTGAGTTTATATTTATTACGTAAACTCCGAGTGACGCAATTAAAAAAAAAAAAAAAAAAAAATCGAAAATTTTGGAGGACCGGCGTATCGATCGCCGTACCTCTCGCATGCTAAGCGAGCGCTCTACCATCTGAGCTAGACCCCCATCACTTGTTAGTTTGTCTCAAAACTTATATTGATAAAGTGCCTCCATCTCTACTTTTGGCTTTTCAACGGTGACACCTTTTCCCCTTAGGTACACCACTTAAGGCAGGATGGTTGACGTCAGAACAATTGTGGGGGATTTTCTTTATTTAGAATGAAAACTTTACCGAGCAAAACATGATGCCCGCACAATAATAAACACGTGCCTGTAATTTTCGGATTTTTAGGTTCTTTTCTTTTTTTAGTAAAGGCAACCACTCAATTATGAACGCAACGTAAATTTATATAGTCGGGCAAGGTAAGAAATGTAATGTATACCTTTCCAAAAATATAATGGTTAGTCTATTATCCAAGCAATTATAGTTAATAACCGAATTATTATACCATATAGAATTCAAATTAATAATCATCCGAGGTCGATAGATTATGCACACTACCCTTGAAGAAGTGCGGAATCCAAGGCTTTTTTTTACGCCGGACCTTCAATGCCGCCGCGGCGTTGTGTGAGATTGTAAACTTTTCCTTTTGCTTACAAATTGATGTCTTGGTCTCACGTCACATTACCACGGGGCGTGCGTTCAAGGTGAGTAATTAAACTTTTTTTAGAAAATCTAACACAGCTAAAAAAAATTGATATACAGTAATTAAAAAATGATGACAAGTGAATTTCCAAAATTCCAAATTCCACATACGTAGCTGAAATTTTTTTTGCGAGTTATAATTTCAAAGAAAAAAGAACTTTCCTTTGTCAATTCTAAATTTTATTATTTATTATAAAATAGATTTGATGTATCATAAAATATCGAAAAAATCATTATTTAATCAAAAAATATTATCAAGGTTTCACTATAAATTTGTTATAATAATTTTTCAACGGTTTCAAATTAAAATTTTATCTCGATTGATATAGAAATATTACTCAATGCTTTCTGCACCGGTCGGTTCTTGGTAAATATAATTCTTATAATATTATCCTGGTAAAAAAAAAAAAAAAGAAAAGAAAAGCAACCAGTCATGAAACGGTTTGGATTTTCCTGTTCTCTCACCTTTGAGGACTAATCAATCAAATTGTTGGATTTTTTGTTTTTGTTAAACAAAAATGAAGTGTTTTCCGTCAGTGCTTAATGCAGCCGCATCTATTTACGCGCAACTTACGATCACGATAGTCAAAAATAGGCGCTTGATTTGTTATATATAGTAAGGAAGTTTCGATGCAAAATGCGGCTGTGCGCAATACTGCACTAAACACGCCTCACCTGTAATAAATCTCCGATTCTAACGGTATTATATGTGATTCATATGCCTTTATTCTTTTTGTATCTTAGCACCCTCAAAAACTTAAAATGCTAAAAGGAAAAGAATTTATATTTTATAATCAGCCGTGTTTCTTTCAAAAAAAAAGAGAATGATATACGATGATTTCGTGGTTTCTAGAATTCAGTGACATTTACTTTACATTGATCTGATTAAACGAAGAATCAATATCATGTTTTAAATTATAATTGAAATATTGAAGTCAACCAATAGACCCTTTTTCTTACTGTCATAAAAATAAATACTGTACATACAGTGTATAGAATCTAAAAAAAAAAAAAAAAAAATACAGGGCATCTTTTTTAAAATATTCATGATTTCCAAGACTGTGGTTTTCATGTTTCATAAGTAATGTGTTTAGGAAACGATTTGTTTAATTGGTATATTCGAATTATTAATTAAAAAAAAAATGAACATCCAAGTTTTACATTACAAAATGAAAAATTAAATGGAACGCAACGTCCGAAGAACGTGAAATGATCAATGCCTGTTTCCTTATCAAAAGCTCGAAAAAAAAAAAGATGAATCTCAATCCACATGATTGCGATTCAGATTATAAAGACAACTTGAATGAAAAATATCAAATTTGGTACTTGATTATTCAAGTTCATATGAAAAGGATATGGAGATCCTGTTTTGGATGTCATTTATATCGGTAATCCGGAGGCGAAGCGGCACTATGAATCACCAGATCCAAAAACCAATTGTCACGTTACTGCGGCATGGGATTTCGTGCGACCGAACATGTCGCATGGTCACGTGATTATGCTACGTACGTACATACCCACGCACATACAGTACTTCAAACACGATTGTCTAAAAATTTTTTTGATTACAATGGAAAAATCGGTCATTACGGGGAAAATTTGCAGGTAGCATATTAGAAGCAATGGCGAAACACAACATGTACCAAGGGACGGAATACATTTCAATGTTTAGACCACCTTCACAATCGAGTATGGAAGAAACCAGCAATCCTTATACGAATTTCGCATCTATTTCCCAAACATCAGGATCTTCACACGATAAAGTTGGTCAGTCCCAAGAGTTTATAACTCAGGTGTTTAAACGTTCCTTAGCAGATTCGTCAGTACCACGAATCACACAGACCATAGTTTCAGGGGATTGCTGTAGTGAATGTTGCCCTGTGGTTGCTGCACAGGCTGCTTCATCTGCTCGAAAGACGGAATCTAACCACATTATGAATGAGTCGGATCTGCCGAGTCATTATTACCAACCACCCCTTACTCAAAACATGAGCAGTTATGATAATTTCTCCGTAGCTCCTCGACAATCATTATCTGCCTTTCGTTCCATAACATCACCTCAACTTCACAAGATAATACAGGAAGAAAGTAATTTGTCACCTGTTTCCAACAATCGGAATGAAACTCCAACTTATTATGTTCATGGATTAGGTTCTGATTTTTCTATTATATCAAATATTAGTAATAAGAATTCAAGAGCTCGGGTATCGTTAATTTACTTTTTTTTTTTTTTGCTTCGGATTGGTTTCGTCTATAGCCTTTATGTCCAAATGGTTGGAAGGATCACTATAATCTCACATCAATTACCTTTTCAGGTTCCGGAAATCTCCGAGAGTTACGGCCCGTCTAGTAATGGTAATCCTTCCACAAATTCACGGGGCATGATGTCGTCGCAGGAGAATAATACTAGTCTAACAAACGATCCTATATTAGAATCGAGTATAACTGAAAAAAGGGATAATAGCACATTAAGTAGAATACTTTCTCGATTATCACCAGGTATAGAAGATACCGCTGCATCATCATCATCATCATCCTCATCCTCCAGGGACTTGATGATGATAGACTCTGTGTCGGGAACAAAAAGAAAACATGACGAAATTATTGATGAGGCACGATGTCTTTGGGCAACATGTGCTGCTGTGTTTAGGTCCATTGACGATCTAATACCTCATCTTTCAAAGCTGCACGTTGCCGGTCGTAGTAAAGGAAATTTGTGTAGATGGGCATCGTGTTCAAAGGAAAAGGAGGGGAGTGATGAGTTGATTCAGCATTTATGCTCAGATCACTTGGGAACGCAAAAGCCTCAACACGGATGCAAATGGAAAGGATGTTATTTGCGATTTGTCACATTTGAAGAATTAACAGGTCACGTTAGTGAAGGTCACATCGGTTGCGGTAGAAGTCAATATATTTGCTATTGGGAACAATGCGATAGAAAGGGACGCCCGTTCACCCAACGCCAAAAGGTTATGAGACACATACAAACACACACAGGTAAGGTCGTGCGAATAATCTATATTTTATCAACGTTTAACAGTTACGTTAACCCAACATTTTCTCGCAGGAGATAAACCATACCAATGTACGGTTTGCAAAAAAAGATTTTCGGAAGCAAATATAATGACGCAACATATGAGAACACACACTGGCGAGAAACCGTATAAATGTCCACAACCTGAATGCGATAAGACATTTTCAATTTCCGGAGCTCTTACTATACATCTGCGCGTGCACACAGGTAATTCCAGTTGATCGCGTTCTCTCATGGTGACCTCATAGACATTGGAACCATATTAATGACACGTAAGTTTAAATATAGGCGAAAAACCTTTCAAATGTAAATTTGAGGGGTGCGTTAAATATTTTGCCGAATCTTCAAATCTTACCAAACATGTGGGTAAAACTTTGATGTTTATTGATATTGCCTGTAACTTACGTTAATTGGGATTTATGTATTGTTTAGATGCGTGTGCATACCGGCGAACGTCCGTTCAAATGTCCAGTTGTCACTTGTAACAAGAAATTTTCAAGACCGGATCAGGTTACACGTCATCAGAAGACCCACGCCAAATAGTTCAAATAGTTCTTACGTTGAATGGAACGGATGAGAATATCATATTATGATTCGCGCAGTTGTACCCGAACGCATCGATATTACAATGAATTATTTTGGCCAATTCCTTCTTAATACTATTAACCACACACGCATACTTTTATCCGACATTGCTGCACAACTTTGGATAACATACAAGATCATCGCCTCAAAAAAAAATATTCATTACAACTATTTAAGTCATAACCTTATGTATGTTAATGGATGTTATTGACATGAATAATAAATTATGTAATTCTCCGAAATTTATGCCTACGCAATATACTGTATATTTTAGATAGAATCACTTTTTGAAAAATCGACCTCTTGATAAAAAAAATCTAAAAGACAAGATCAAATACAAATAGTTGATATTAATTATAATCTAAAAGAATTAATCCTTGCATCACACAATATTATAAATTGAAAACTTGTAAATATTTAAAAATATCTATTTCTTGTTTCTAGAAAATACTCGACATTTTTTGTAAGATTTCTAAATAAATCAAAACCATTTTTGTTCACGATTCTATTATCGAAGTCAAATAGAAAAGAATATTTTACTATTTTTTAAACACCGCTTCTAGGCCTTTAATTAAGAAATTGCTATTAATGGTTTTTCACTATTACAGTAATTATTTATATTAATATTATATTATAAAAGATTTTATTTAATCATGATAGACAAAAAAACTGATTCTTAAAAACTTTATCTTATTGAAATAATCTTTTTTTTTTTTTTTTTTTTTGATTTGCAATCAAATTAGTATAGATTTTTGCATATTAATTTAACTATTATTGAAAAATTGTTTTTTAAATATGACTTAAAGAATAATATCTTATTCTTTAATTAATTTGAATTAATTCTTAATCAATAAAATCTTCTTTATTTATACTATAAGTCATTACTATAAATTATTTAAAGTTTTCTCTATAATCTAAAATCTTAATCCTTTAACTTTATAGTAAATTCAGTTTGCAATAATTTTTAAGATATTAATTTCAATTAAAAATAAGTTCCTAAAAAAAAAAAAAAAAAAAAAAAATTAAATATTAAGTATTTTTCTCTAGAATATATTAAAATTTGTAAATTAATAACTATAAAAAAACTATTTGGAATAGTTATCCATTATTTAAAATTTTAATTTATAATATTTTCTAAATTTTGTCTCTACCAAAATAAAAAGTTTGAATTTGATTTCTTAAAAAAAAAATATAAGCAATCTATAAGATTTTATTTGTTTAATACTTTAATAATCTATCATTAATTTTAACTTTTGTTCTTAAGTTTTTTAATTCTTGTTTTTCAAAACAATTATTAATACATTTATTTAATATTAAAATTCTTGACTAATTATTCTATATTTAACTTCATCGATTTTTTTTTTTAATAATTCTTAATTTTTTCTTTTAACTTATTATTTAATAATTATTTTAGATTTTTTTTTGAAATATTTTTATATTCTATAACAAAATCATTTTTTATGTAATTTTTTAAAAATATAATTTTGTTTTTATTTATATATTTATATATTATATTATACATATTTTTATAAATTGTTAAAATTTTTCAATATAGTTACTTATTTATTTATAAATAATTTATTAATCGTTTATTTTATTTTATTTTTTTATACCTTTTGTCAGGCTATGTATGTGTGTTTTATTAAACATGTATATACTTTACATTAGAAAATATATCACTAAAGCCAAGTCTCTATCTAACTCATTCATCTATATTTTAAAGAATTATTAAAACTCTAAGTATAACTTCAGAAGTAATTTATCATTTCATTAACAGTTCAGATAAAGATATTTCCAATCGTTAACTTCATTGCCTACAGATCATTACTGCAAATCACCCTGCGAGGTTCTGACAGAACTTAAAACCCAACCATTTCATTCCATACTCCACTCTTCTTGTTAAAATTTTTCAAAAGTCTTTGTTTTCGAGATTTCCTTCTTCAGGTAGTGACTCTTTTTTCTTCAGGAGTATAGTTTTTCGATTTAAAAGACATGAAAGCCTTATTGTCTTGTTCTCTCTACCAATTCCTTATATTTTTTTCTACTCAATTACTTTTTCGCATCTCTTATTCCAAACTTCTTTTTAAACTTGATTACAAACTCTTCTTTATATTTTTATTATTTATTTTCTTATTATTCTTTCTATACATTTACCTTGACATTTTAGATCTGTTATTTCTAGGATAATATTTATTCTTATAAGGCCAATACAAAAACTTAGCATATCCTGACTAGTTTTAAAAGTCTGCTCTACTACTTTAGAGATCCACTTGTTAAACTCTCCTATTTTTTCTCAGTCATTAATAATTAATCTGGAATTTTTCTCTTCAGTTTTACTCTTTCTTTCCCCTAGTAGCTCTTTAAAGTTTCTAATAATTCCATCTACTCTTTTATTCCATGCCTCTTTTAGTTGATTCTTATAGGTTAAGCATTCTATCAAGTGTTTTATAGTTTCATCTTGTTAATTACATGCAATACATCTCACTTGTTTGTATAGGTCCGATTTTCTTATAGCCAACTTACTTAATTTATTCATTTTTTATTAATATCTTTTTTTTTTTATAAATATATCAATCAATCTTATTTTATACTTTTTTATTATATCTTTTCTTATATTATTTGTAATTTAATATTTGAAAAAATATTTTGATATTTCTTTCAAAAATTTATAAATTAAGCAAATAAATTTTAAATTTCTATAATATCAAAAACTTATTATTTTAAATTAAATTTATTAAAAAAGTTTTTGTATTTATTAATTTTAAAAAGTTATTAAAAATATGATTATTTTTAAAAGTTTTAATTTATTTATTATTGTAACCTTTAAACCATATATATATGATATTTGCTTAATTAAAAAAATTTAAAAAACTTTATAAGAATATTTATTGAACTTGATATTTGAATATTAATTTTAATAAAAATATTTTTGGCAATAATTAAAAAATATATAATATAATCTTATTAAAACTCTTTTTACTAATTTTTTAACTGCATCCAAAAAAGATATTTATAAGAGGTTTTATACTTTCATACTATTTAATTTTTTTTTTTTTTTTAACCCACAGTCAGGTCAGCATGACATGTCTTTATTGTATATATGCTAAATATTTACAAATTGTTGTGACTTTCATATACTGACTCACTCATCATCAAAAAAACTTTTTCTCTAAATGCAACCTAGGGAATGATATTTTACTCCTTTACTAATTTGAATAATTTCTCTAATTAATAAAATCATTGCCTACAAATTATTACTGTAAATCATTCTAAGTTCTGTCTGCAGTTAAAAACCAAACCACTTTATTCTGTGACAAATCCAATTCTTAATAATCACCATATATTTCTTTCCTTCTATTTCTTTGATGTCCTTCAGATTTGAATCCTCTAGAGATAACAACAATTTTTTTTGGTCTTGTTCAATCTAATCATCAGGTCTAGGCTTGAACCTCTTGTTTCTTTTGTCCTCTTCTGTAATATTATACTTCTTTTCCCATTCTATAGCTTTGGCAAAGTGTGTATTCCAGATCTCCTTTTTAAAATTTACTCTCATCTTCTGACAGAGTTTATCAATTATATCCTGTGTGTTTGCTGGTAGGATCTTGAGCTGCTTTTTGAGATACTTTTTCAAGGAGATGGTCTTGCTTTCTTCCATATATTCAAAGATGATATTGAAAAGGTTCCTGTCAGGTTTCTAAATCTCTTCTAACCATTTGCCTATCCAGTTACTTATTTTAGGTTGAACTTCTTTCTTCTCTTTTATTTTTTTACCAATGAGTTTATTAATCTTTTCATTTACCTTCTGCCATAAGTTCTTCTGAGTTTCCCTAGTGACTAAATATTCAAAAAAATGTCCTAGTGTCTCTTCATGAAATTCACATATTGGACAAGTGGTTGTAATATATATATCTGATTTCCTCTTCTTAAGTATCTGCAGGACTGGAAGTTTATTGTGAATTAAGTTAGTTAGGAAGCTTTTGTCTTTATTGGTTTTGAAAGAGGTATCGAAGGTATTGATCAGATTGAACTGGTTCCAGAAGGTTGGCCAGTCTATAATTTTATCATTTTGAATCCAAAGATCCTGGACCTATTTCTGTGTTATTCAGTCTAATTCAATCTTTTTCTTATTGAACATTTTAACAAAGTTTCTGATACCAATTTCTATTGTGTATTCACCCCATGCTACTATCATGAGAACTCTTTCTAGCTCTGGTAGCTGATACCAAGTTATTGGATTCTTTCACCTGGCCTGTTTGGCAAATAAGTCTACTTGATTGTTGAATTTGTTGGTTCTGTGGGCTTTAACCTTTAGGATTTTCATATTCAAGTCTTTCTTCTTTATTAGGTTCTTGATCTTATTCCAAAGTGGCCAGTTATTAATCTTTGTTCATCTTCTTATAGATATTTCTATTTGTAGGCAAATAGATTTCTATACTTTGACTGTAGTATTGCAATCCATATAAATTATAACTGTTGTATTTCAGGGAACTGTATACAATGTAGTAAGAATAACTAGTATTTTAGCCCTGGTTGTTAATGATTATGTGAATGCTCCTGCTAAGAACTGTTTAACTATTTTGTTCTCCTCTATCATAATCCAAGCTAAATCCATTTGAACTTCACAATCTGTCATTTCTTTTTTATAAAAGTCATCTATATAGAACGTAAGCTAATCAGTCATATTTCTTTTGTTATATCTCAAGATGCTCTTAAGTTTGTCTCTTTGTTCTTCTGTTTGTATGGCTTTTTCTATTAGTGTGATATCTCAGTCTTCCACTTGAATCTCTACTTCAATTGATCTGGAAGTTAGTAGAGCCACTGTTTACTAAAATGTATTTGTCTGTCAGTTTGTAGGATTTCTTGGCAAAAGGATCTACATCTTTTTTTTTAGATTATTGTATCGATTGAGCTGTGAGAGAAGGTGAATCTGTGACAGGACTACTTCTAATGACTGCTCTGTGCTATCTGGTTGAAGATGAGTATTGTTACTAG